GGGGGGGGGGGGGGCACACCATGACAGTCTGACCCCCACCACGGGAAAAAGGTGTCTTTGCCGTCACACTCCAAGCAAAAATCTTATGCTTGGTTTTCCCAAAAAAAAAAATTGCTCCTGTTCCAGAGGCACTGTGGGCAAGTGGTTTCGGTGAAAAAAGCGGATTGTTTTCCACTGTTAATGGGGTGGGAGTGAAGCGCAGAGTGAAGCGAATGAGAGAAAGCGGCTCGGAGCCTCGCTGCTGCGGACGGAGCCTGCTAATGAAGCGCCTTCCAAGCACAGGGGACTCTTTGTTCCAGGTTCACAGCCACGGCTCATTGATAAAAGCACACCGTCCCTCCGCCGCTGCGGCGGCTTCTGAGCGAGGTGCCCGGGGAAAGCGGCCCCCCCGCGCTCCAGCCAGCCTCCCGCTGGGTAGCGTCACGGGACAAAGGGGCCCCCCCATTGAAAGCTTCCTCTTATAAATGCGTCACAGCCTGGGGCACGGATACAGGAGCGAAGAAAAAGAGGTTTTTCCACACCTTCTGCCCCAGGTTTCCGGAATATACCTTTAGCTGACCTGGGAAATCTTGCAGTGAATGAATTCACGCATGAATATAATTTTAATAATTATTTTATTGCTTAGCTTCCCCCTCCATAACTTCTGCTTGTTCAGCTGTATATATTAAGCTTAGGACCTAAAGAGCAAGCTTCTGGCCCACCAGTTGTCCAACTAGCAACACTGTCTGTGCTCGTCCAAGCTACAGGCCAAACAGCTGCTGAATGGAATCACCCTCCCAGTGAAACCTGATTATAACATGGTGTGTGTCATGGATGTGGCTTGTTGAAGGGCCTCAGAGCGAGAGTGGGACAGCATGGAACAGTGTGTAATCATAGGGTGGTGTGGCTCTGCGGGTTAGTACTCTGTGCCAGTCATCGGAAGGTCATGGGTTCAAGTCCCAAAGCTGGCAGAGTGATTTCACCATTTGGCACTTGAGCAAGGCCCTTAACTCCAGTTTTGCTTCAGGGATTCTGACCCTGCTCTCTCTCTGCTTGTTTTGGACAAGATCGTCTAATAAATACATAAATGTAAACCCATGCAATGAGCAGCACGTAAACACTGAGTTCCCAGCAAATGATCCCAGCACAGTGCAGCCGTCTCTCAAAAATATGCACTCATGCACACATTCTCAAATTCCACTGCTCGCTGCCAAAGGGATCACGCTCACTGTTTCCACAGTTTTTCTTTTTTTTTTTGTCCCCCTTTTCTTCTCTTGAAACTTCCTCCATTTTGGCCCCGGCTGATGGAACAAATCGCACCCTCTGTTGTGACACGCCGGGCTATCAGCAAGGGGTGTGAGGGGCGGCCTGGACACCATAATTATGCATGTGGTCATTACACGTTTAATTTATTTAGCCAGTCTCTGGAATAATTGGGGGCCCACTTGCGAAATTACATTGCAAACCGTGGGATTTGAACCAGTGACCTTCTGATCATGGGCACAGTGTCTCATACCATACCCACATACACTGAGCCACTGACAATGTATTTCCCACCCTTTCTAGAGGTGAGTGAGGCCACTGCCACTCTGGGACCTGGGACCATGGGCCTAAGCACCCGCTACAGCCCCCAGTTCACCTTGCAGCACGTGCCCGACTACCGTCAGAACGTCTACATCCCGGGAAGCACCGCGACCCTGACGGCCAACCCCCAGCAGCAGGCCCTGCCTCCGCCCCAGGCCCAGGCTCCGCCCCCGACCCAGGCCGAGGCCCCCAAGGCTGCCCAGACGCCTGCCAGCAAGAAGAAGTCTGCCAAGAAGGAAAAGAAGTGAGGGGCAGCGGAGATGAGCTGCAAGGCGAGAGGCAGATGTCCACGTGTGAGGACAGCCGATTTCATTCTTTTTTTGCCTGATTTTTATTCGTTGTTAGGTCGGTGTTGCAGAGTGATGTAGTGAGTTTTCACATTTCCGGACCCATTTCTGCTTCCTTTTTTTAAACTCACAAGCTAACCTGTAATGTGCATTTATCTTACTATATGAATATATCATGATTTTCTTTTAATGCTGGTGTTTAAGATTGGGAGGGATTGGGGCAATGAAGGCGGATCCTCTCGCAACATTAAATCCAGAGGGATTTTTATGAGGTAAAGTTCAAATGATAGTTGAACAGGGATGTGATCTCTTTGCCCTGTAACTCAGTATTAACAATGAAATTTTATTTTATTTTTTTACTTACCGAGAGTGACGCTGACATTTCCATTGTTTTCACGAGGCGCACGGTGGATGCTTTTCGTGGTGGAAAGAGCGACGTTTCGGCTTAGATGATGGACAGGCAGATACGATGGTGTGTATCTGCAGACTGAGAACCACAGAAGCTAAACTATGCATTGCAGGTGGGGGAAATGGATTTCAATTGGTTGGAGATTCTTGTCAGCAATCAAAAAAAAATTAGCATTAATACATAGCAAAAAAAAATGCATATGTCTTGGTAACTTGGAGAAGACTTTTGGCTTTAAGATTTTTTTTTTTTATGTCCTATTGCTTCGAGAGGAACTTGGAGCAGTTTCAGTGCTGGTGGATCATCCTGTCGCTCTGCGTGAGGGGTGTGTGGGCGGGGTCTCCGTTGCTCATCTCGCTGAACGCATTAGCCGCTTCGCATCCCAGTCTGCTGCATGCTGCCCGATCTGACCGCACGCATCCCCACCGTGAGCCCGAGCTGCTCCGGGGCAGTGCGCTAAACGCATGTAGCTGAGCACCCGGCAACTGGAACACACATCGCACGCACCAGTGGGCAGCACTAGTGTAGCAGGGAGCTGTCCTGCTGTAGGTTAGGTATAGCATAGCGCTAGCTAGCATAGGGCTAAGGGACACTGGACCTAGCGTAATTATAGAACTCTACAATGTTTAATTAGGACTCAGGAAGGGTTTTGGAGCCAAGGCTGTCGGGAAAGTCCGCGCGGGACCAGAAGCCCACACCTAAGCAGATACTGGGCCTCGTCTTGGTGCAGAAACCCGGCATTGGGCCAAAAGACCCTGTCGCCTCCGTCCACCTGATCACAGACAGCACTGAGGCCTCTCCAACACACCATTCCGAGTTTGTAACCGTTTCCCCCCCATTCTACCATTGTGCCCCCCCCCATGTAAATATTACCATTTCTCTCCAGAGCCAGATGTCTGTATGAATCACATTTAATAATTCGATGTTTAAAAATGAGCCCTTTTCAGTGTGGCTTACTACTGGAATGTGTTACGTTTTTAATTTAGAAAACGGGAAAAAAAAAAACTGAGATGTTCTTCAATCTAAGTGTAGTCATGTAGTAACTAAGCACCCAGAGGACTGATTAACCCCCCCAGTGTAAATAAGAAAAATATAGAGTAGAAACCTGTGACTTGTGTTTTCTCAATTTTAACTAAGACAAAAAAAAAAAAAAAAAGCATTTGTATCCATATGAAACTTATTTCTGTGTTTGTGATTTCTCTTTTTGTGTTTGTCCTGCTGGAATGCCACTATCATAGACATAAATATATAGATGTGCGTGTGCTGATAAGCTTGTCCATACTCTACAGGAATATCTTTCTATAAAATGCTTAGATCAGCGCTCATGTGTTACACTTATTTTATATGCTAATATTTATGTTGCCGTTCTACTTTTTCTTGAACACTGACATTTCAAATAAAAAGTTCCTCTGAAATGTTCCTCCTCGTTGGTGTGCTTCATTAACCTCTGATATCTAGCTAGCCAGCTTACAAGGCTTTTCTCACTCAGTGATTTAAGAGAACCATGAAATGCCAGTCGTCTTCGCCAATTGTACAGAATGTCTATGTAGAAATAAAACAAAAAAATAAAACATTCTGGTTACAATAAAAGTATTTGATCAATAGGATTAGGATGACAGACATGAATGTATGTGAGCCAAGATGATCTGCTGTTGTGTCCTACAGTCATAAAGGAACACAACAGACCTTTGTTAGTCATCAATGCCGTTCGCAAAAGGGTTTTTCTGCCAGACGTCAGCAAGGGAGCAACTAAGTGCAGACAATGACAGGACAGCTGGCTGGTGTGTGTGTGTGTGTGAGAAACACCACAAAAAGGAGGACATTTAAAGGGAACTGGAGCAAAGGGGTCCCTCAATAACCCCCCACACATTTATTGGCTACCGATTCGTGCCCCACGTCACGCTTTACCACAGATTCCGATAGCATGAATTTGGAGGCGCAAGAAAAGCTTGCAGAAGAGCTCAGAAGAGAAGAGTGAATAGAATGAATGTACAGAGCCTGCTAGCAGTCCAGACAAATGCTCTGGGGGCTGAAGGTTACTCTCAATCTGAGCAGATAGGAAGATTTCACGAATACCGCAGTTACAGTACATCGAGTGTTTGAGTGCTAGTTTTACAGCAGAAACCCTTTTACACATTTTAGTTCTCTACTGAGGCACACTTACGTACATTTTGTCAAAGGGGGGAGGAACCACAACTTTTCTTAAATATGGGTGAAAGTCACAGCAAAGCTGCAATGATGCCAAGAGCTGAGATGAGACGGCTGGCTTGAAGGTCACTCTCGCTCCCGTCTGGTTCGATCAGTGCTACCATCTGCTATCGGCTCGCAAATCCACTCTGCCTCAAAAGCAGGGGTGACATGTGCTCCGTAGCTAAAGCTAAAGTTCAAGACCACGGAGAACACTAATTAGCAAGACATTAATTAGCAAGTACAATTTGGAAGGTCAAAAAGCATTATGGACATCGGGAACGGAAATACTGTTCGTTCATTATGGGATGTAGTCCCTCCTGAGTGCACTCAAGTTCTCGTTCAAGGTGGCCTATTTCGTACATAGTTCAACATTTCTCTGACAGAAAAACGGAAACGGGGCAGCAGATTCCTGTGGTGCAGAGCCAAGACTGACAGGAATCAGGTCACAAAGCCCTGTTCTGCTAAATGCTGATTTTAGGCCTGAAAGGCACTGAACACCTGGCTAAAGCACACGAACTACAAGCCACAGCCAGTTAGAATGCAGAACTCTGCTGAGGATTAGAGGAGGCCTTCAGAGGTGTGGGGACAGTCCTGGTTTCCAGGCTTTTATCAGGTCCTGTAGGGAAACATAAGCTGTGGAGGGTTTAAATATGGCCTGTCAGATCACAGGGACCCAGCGACTGGGATTAGTGACGCGGGAGGGGCTCTGGCTACGTTCCACCGCCTTTCACACCTGAGCTTCACAGTGCATGGCAGCATGCGTATTTTTTCATTCCAGTTCATACTAGTAAAAGTCTGCTAGATTGAAAGAGCATCATATTTCCTCTCTCTGTTTTCCTATAAACAGATCAGTGAACAGCAAGGCTGGTTTTCTTCCAGTACTCTGAAAAGGCAGTATTAACTCTTCTCAAAATACCTTTTTTTTCCATTTAATGTACCAGGTGGATTTCTGACTCTGGGTTTGAGGGGAATTCAAGAGAGCCATGGAGTCATCGTTGGTAATGTAAGCAGACTTCCTGGGGAACTATATCGCAGACTATTAATGTCCAGTCTTGTCAGAAGAAAACTGAAGAGGGCCATTCAGCGAGCAAATTTAATTCAAACAACAGCTCTATAACAGAAACATAGCTCGGCTCAAGATAAAATTTCCGTAGTTAATGGAAATGAATTAGTTTTATTTATTATCATGCTATAAATTTGCCAAAGAAGTAAATAAATGCACAGTCCCTGATAGAAGAACACACTTTAAGCCTGTTAGCTACTGTGTGAGAATGCATCACAGTCCAAACATTTCAACAAACAGCTGCATCCCAGAGACCCAACATGGAGGTCAAGGCAGCTGTTGCAATAACACTGTCCTCACATCTCCCAGCGACCGCGAAGCTGCCTGCCGCCCCCTTGCATGGCCCCCTCTTTATGGGTTGCACATCCCGGTTCATTCTGGCTGCTCCCAACCCCCCAACCTGATGATTCGGGCCTCACTGTACGTTGCCATGATGATGGTGAACCACAGGGGTCCCGTGGCTTTGGAGAGCAGGCATCAGTCCCAGTACCAGAACCCCAATCGGTACCACCTTCAGCAGAACACCATTAGGAGCTTTTTATGGAAAGAGGCTTTGCCCATAGTCAGTCAACATCTTAGATCTATTAGCTAAAGCAAGCATTTGCAGTTGACTGAGTGACAGACACTGTCTACTCACACCCTGGGGGTTGGGGGTATGAATCCCCCCCAGCTCTTCTACATGGAACTTGCATATTCCCCCTGGTTTGGGTCTGTTTCCTCTGACTGCTCTAGTTTCCTTCAGCAGTCCAAAGATATTCCGTTATATGAATTTGCGCCTCTATATTCCCTGTAGGGCAGGGATAGGCAGTCCTGATCCTGGAGTGCCGTATCCAGCAGGTTTTCCCTCCCACCTGGTCTCTGATGAACCACACCAGATCTCAGGCAGATAGTAACTTACCCGATAGGACAGAAAACCCGCTGGATAGCAGCACTCCAGGATCAGGGCTGCCTACCCCTGATGTAGAGAATGAGTGTGATGCAATGGCACCAGGAACCGGATAAGGGGTTTCAATATGAATCAATAGATTAACATATGACATCTACTACATTAGATTAGAATCTAAACAGTCTCTTCTAAATTTACCGCATGTAACTATTTCCCAGTGACTTTGGCTGTAATAACATCACGACGAGGGTTTCATTACATTATGGAAAGAATGAGTTTTATTACATTAAGGGAGTGAGGAGTTCCAGTAAAACTTGGACAATGATGAGTCTGGTTCTGCAAGAAAAAGCTTTTGTCAGATAGATCCCCTATGAAGTTCCCCTAAAAGTATTTTTGTGTTTCACAGAATGGGTTTTGTTGTTTTCATTTTTAAAGAATGAATCACCACTTAAATTGGTTGTTTGTGCAGCTTGTGTAGCATGAGGTAATCAAACGTTTTTAAGGTGCTTTGGACATAGATGTTTTGTTTTTGCAATAAACAATATAATTGTGAAACAAAGAGCAAGTGTAGATATCCTACAATAAATCCAAGCTGGAGAGTAATTTATACGTAAAGAGGAGGAAATCGTTGGCATGCTGCCTAAATAACAAAAACAAAATTTTACTGTACTGACATTCCAGATAATCTTAGCATTAAAGGCTCCATTTCCAGCATCAATGAAACTATGCTTTGCTGCTGCTGACACAAAATGGCTGCCACCTCGCTCTGTAGAAGGTGCCGGAGCAGAAGTGGTCTCCATGGAAACACGGTTCTCACAAGCAGTGATGGATTGATGAAATTCTACTGTCAGGTACAACGATCCGTTTTTTTTTTTTTCCTTAGCTGAAGTCCACTCAGTATTTCTGGAAATTGCTTAGTATACCATTAAACCATTTTAGACTTTGTCAAACAGCTGATTAATTTTACAAAAGCATCTCAGTGTAAGTTCCTTCAATAGCATGGGTCCTTCTCAGAGCTGACCACCTTAGATTTGATTAAGACATACAATTACTGTACTTCATCCACTAGGCAACACGCAACCTAAAAGCAGCCATTGCTAGTCTCAGTCTGCGATCCTATGAAATCCATAAGGTACTGATTTCCTGATAACTGTAGAGATACTGAATACAGACTAAAGGGGTGCAGGACAGTCTATGGCGGGAAGGGAGGGGACACCCTGTGCAGGATGAGGAAATTTACAGCTTGTAAATTTACATGTTTCATACATAATCATATTATACGTACATATTTGCAGACCTGATTATTTACAGACAATGACCCTAGTTATGTACTGGATAAGCAAGATGGAAGATGAATCGACTGATGATTATTTTCAGCAGTTTAGTAAAGCATGCAGACTATAAGACAAAGCAGCTGTTCTTAGAGCGGTAACTTCTGGCGAAAGATTACGTCCTAAATCACAGCACCAGCCAATCACACCATTTTAATGTCTGCTAAGTCCAGTCATTGCGCTCATTAAATCAAATGAAATAAATCATTTTTTTTTTTTTAACTGAAGCTGATTGTTTGTCATCTGTACACAAGACTCATTTGCTCCTGTCTCATCCCCTCCTTATTAAACCTAACATCTGTTCACAAATGCACTGTAGGAATGCCTTCCCAACCCAGCCGTTGGGAACCCAGAGACGGTCCATGTTTTTGCTCCCTCCCAGCTCCCTGCCAGACAGTCCATGTTTTTGCTCCCTCCCAGCTCCCATGGACTGTCTGAGGGTCCCCAAGGACCAGGTTGGGAATCACTGCTGAAGGGACATCACGTCTCACACGCCTCTCACAGGATGTGACAAAAACACCACTGCAAGAAAGTCCATAATGGATAGACTGTTCTTACCTCACAGACTTAATCCGGCTTCAGTGCTAATTCTATTAGATCCAATTCATTCAGTCGGCCAATGCCAGGACACACGCCAGTGGTGGACACACACACACACATAGACACAGACACATTCACGCAGGTCTCTGTTTACTCAACTTGTGTATCCGAGACTTGATGACTATGCCAGAACTAATGAACCTGCCAGGAGATATCAAACACACCAGGTGCAACAGAATACAACCATTCTGATGCACTATGAAGCCAGGAGTAGCCTTGGAAAGTCATCTAAAAAACAGCCGTGGTGTTGATTAGATTCACATGCTCGCCATAAGAGTATGGCAGACAGGCTGCAAGGCAATGTGGGGAGGAAGGGGAAATTAAAGGGAAAGATTTGTTAGGATAACAA